GGGGTCTGTCATTTTCAATACCATTATCTCCAGTGTTGTTCAAAACAGAAATACAGTGTTGCTGTTTATTTGCTAAAGGCCTCAGCTTACACTGATAAGCACCAGTTAATCTTCCAAAATGCTTCTTGAACTATTAAGTACAGACTCAATTTTGTAACAGAGTTTATCTTGCTGTCCTGCTTGCTGCCTGTGTGTGATCGCCAATCCTTGCTGTGCCAACTGCAGCAGCTGCCACTTTGGAAAACTTAATTTCTATCTGGTTTTATAGAATGTTTTGATTTGCAAAGCAGGGAAACCAACAGCATGTAGCTGCTCAGTTCTTGCTCATCCAGCAGTAGCTCTGTATCAGTTCTATTTCTCTGTCAAAAACCAGTTTTCACCCTAGGACTTGCTTGTACGTGGAAAGAAAAAGAAAGTGTAAAGAATGAGGAAAAGTGAAGGGGAAAACTAAACCAACCTTCCTCTTCCACTCCTGGAGGACAGTGAGACCAGCTACAGAGGATACTGCAGAACCATTTTTCTGTACTTTCTTATGCAAGTTTTGGAAAGAAGTGGTTACAGGAGAGACAGAAGGGAAGATGTCTGTGGCTCTGAATTTAACAAGGAAATTCTGGAGGGACTGCATCAAGAGATCTCTATATAACACACAGATGTCATCTGTGCAATCCCATTCCAATTACTGCAGAGGCTGATGGAATTTCTAGAGGCTATCTGCTTGGAATGAGGGCATATTAAATCAGTCACAGTGGGTGAGACCAGCTAGGACAGTAACACAGTGAACGGGGTGGTTTTCTCTTGAGGGTGTGTGTGGGGGGTATGTGTCTGTGGTTGGTTATAAATTGTTTTGCAGAGTACTTCATATCATAGAGCATGTGTTGAGCTTTTGACTCTCAAAATAACAAGGCCAACCCTCTCAAACAAGTTAGAAACCTGTGGCACAGAAGTGATAAATCAGCTCAGAGGAGTGGGGTAGGGATCACAAGAAAGGAAAGATGTCTGCATGTGGAGAAGGTGAAAACCACCAACTCTCTCTAATAATCATTTCTCTCCAGCTGGGTTACAGCAAGGAACCTAAAAAGCCAAGATTTGGGAAAGAAAGGAACTCAAAAGCAGGGAAACCCAGATAGTACTAAAGATGTTAACAAAACATGTTCCAAAAAGCAAAGAAATGTGAAATGCTACTCTTTTACTTTCCTGGCCAACAGTCTATGCTGGGGAACACCTGTGGAATGGGCAGAGGTAACTCTCTGCAGTTGTGTGCAGGCTGCTTGTCTGGCTGCGAGGCACCTCTTCCCCAGGCATCAGCCTGGCTTCTTCAGAAGTCACTGCCAGGCCAGACAGACATCTATGGGATCATCTATGGGATAAAAGCAACTGAGTTTCTCCTGGAAATACTGCAGAGAGGCATCCAACATACTGTGTCTAGCACATGGCACGCCCTCAAAGTTTGTCCTGCAAACTACAACAAATGATGTATGAGACTTGCATGGATCTCAAATGATGGGGAATCACCTACGTGTCCCAAAGGAATGGTCCCACTATGGACACCCCATACTTACCTTCCAGTGTCTCACAGTGTTTCAAAGCACAATTTGATGGCAAACTCAACTGCTTCCTTCAGTTCAGATCTGTCTTGTCACAGACACAGTAGCATCATCCCATTTGTTCCTTGGTGAAATCATGAAACACAGATATTTATGCCTTAAGATTTTCTGAAAAACTGTCATTTTCCCAGCCATAAATTATAAAGACAGTTATGCCTTTGCAAACTACTCCCAGCAAAACTGGATGGACTCTGTAATTACTTCTTGCAATCCCAAACATGCAGATCAAGATTATCTATTGAAATGCCAGGCATAAGTTATTCATTAACTAAAACCATTCTGTAATTTTATTGATATATTTTGTGGAGTTCACATATTTTTGTACAGCAAACATAACACTGTAGGCCACAAGAAGCTGCAGCACTATTGTTTAATAGCAGCAAGGTATATTTTATAATCAGGGTATGTGGACAATAAATAGTCTGTTTCTTTGGATGTGAATGTTTAAAATGAAGTTCTGCTGCAGCTTCATAACGTGATTGCTATTTTACAGAGCTTATACACAAAAATATATATGCAATCTTTTTGTCTATATTTTATACAAATACAACAGTAGTTTGTGAATACATTTTAAAGTACATATACATGATAAGCAACTCAATTTCCCATATCACAGGATAGCAAATTTTAAATGCAAGAAACATATACAAATTCAGTCTGGAATGCAGGGTTTTCTGTGTTCTTTTTTTTTTTCTCTATTTTTTTCCGACTCAAAACTTTTATCATTAAAAACATTTTAGCATACAAGTCCAAACAATTTTTCCAAGTCCAAACAATTATAGCTAAAAATATAATTTCAGCAATCCGAGTCAGGTTTGGGTGTGACATCATTCACCAATATACTCTTCCCAGTTTTTGTCTAAGGCTTTTAGTAACATATAGTATGTTCTTCACTCCACACCATATAAAAAGCCCACATTTAACATTAACTAGCAGTCACCTATTTTTGTGAACAAGACCTGGGCTTGTCAGCGTTTAAATTTGCATGTCCAAAATTTTACTTTTGCAAGTGCATATGAATACATTGTGGTGTTGCACAAAAGTTCATTAATGACAAATTAAGTCACAGTATAAAAATATATCATACAACTATAGGTCTAGTATAGTCCTTTTTTTTCTATGGGTAAAAATACATCTGAATGAGACAGGGAGGTTTGTAGCACCATGAGAGGAGTTGTATCCCAAGTTACATTAGCAGCATGATCCAATATAACAATATTGCAGGAGTGTTTCTGAGGAGATAAACATTCACTCTGGTTCAACTGTACCACTGAAGCTTATACTGAAAAGTGTTTACATATGATTAGCAATAGTTCTGTGTCACTTCCAGGGCTAGATAACTGTTATCAAAAGACACTGCCTTCCAACAAAAGTAAGACACCCTTATTGCATAAAAGCTTTGGGACTACCCAAACACATTTTGAACTACTGTGGCATTACTTGTAAGTTGAGCATGATGCTAAGTAAGCTGTGGTTTAAACTGTACACTGGGGGCAAGCAGGATGGGCAGCTAAGCCTATAATGGTTTACTACATACCAGATAAGTACATATATTTCAGAGGCTTATCTATAGACTGAGAAGAATACAGGAGAAGCTGCTAAACCAGTGTATGAGACAGACATAACAAAGGATGCAGGATCCCCATAGCATTTACGGATGCAGGATCAGGCCCAAAGTTAACTTCAGACAGCAGCATAGCGATAGGATGTGATAAAAAAAAATGTATCAAATACTGCATGTTAAATATTTTTGACAAAGTTTACCATCAAGAACTCCAGAAGACAGTTTGCAAACGGTGAGGACAAACTCCTAATTGTTTTTGACTGGTATTTAAAATGGCAGTAGAAGACAGTGTAGTTTGAAACATGTAAACCTAGTAAAAACCATTGTAAAACCCTTAAGAAAGACACACTGGTTCTGTGCAATATAGCAAATTGATAAGAAAACACTGTAAAAATGTACCTGTTTAAAATTACAATGTCTACCATTTTGTACACAAAGCATTATACCAAAGGCCTACATATATGTAATCTAATGGCACTTGAAACAAATTATAATAAAAGGTTTTATAATAAAAAGCATAACCTGTAAGAAATTTTCTTAAAAGGTTTAGGTTTTCTTTTTGAAAGTGCTATATCTTGTAATATGTGTAACATAGAGGTTGACCAAGCTTTATTTTAAAAAATATTGGCCTATAATACAAGTTTAGCTCACTAGGCAAATGATCCTGAAAATATGTACTCTTAACATTCATTATTAGCTTAATAAAGCAATCAGCTCTGGCTCATGTTTCAGTCAGTATATGGTTTTTAAAAACCGCTACTGCCAAATTAACAATAAATCACTCTATTCCACAATTTACTACTAAATAAAGCACAAGCAACAAGTACACAAAAATATATATATTTAAAAAAAAAAAAAAACAAAAACAACAAAACAACCTTACTAGAAGTTTAGAAGTTGCACAAAGAGTGGTGCATGATCAGCCAGCCCTCCCCCCTCCCACCAAGAATCCACGGGAAATCAAGAAAACGGGTTTTAAAAACTGATGGTTTAGTAGTGGCCAATAGTGACTCTGCCTAAGTGATGCTCAAAAGCACTCTGGTGGTGTTGGTATTGCTTTAAGGGTCAGTCTGCTTCCATGTTACCCTACATCCTAGTTCAGCTGCAAACACTCTGGGTGCAGCCACCCACTGAAACCCTGACTGAATGAGGTTCAATATCTTGTCTGAGGTCTCTATTTCTCAAGTGAAATGTATATCTAACGCCAAGTGAAATGTCAATCCCTTTTCAGGAAGCTAAGGCACAAACAAGGTAGTAAGGGTTCTGGCTACGCACTAAGAAACGGGCGTTGGCAAAGTGTCTGTGGGTTTTGGTTTTCACAAGGTCTTTCAGCAGCTGGGGCCGATAACAAGTGGCTCCAGACTAGAAATTTGTGTGTCCCAGGCTGCCCAGGGAGGGCAGCGCTGCCTGGCCACACTGCTGGGCCAGCTGCAGGATGCCAAGCACCTGCAGCTTTCCTCTGCAGCAGGGAGAGTTGCAGATGCTCGGCTCCACACGGGACATAACCCACTGCAGGAATTAAGTCCATTTATTTTCATCTCAGATTAAAAGGATTGAGAATAAATCCAATGCGTTACGGTCGTTCATGTAAACTAGAGCTACATTCGGTTGCATTCAGCTTGTGCTCTGTTCATCTGTGTTTTTCTTTCCTTTAGAAAGGTGAATGGAAAAAAAGCAATATTGAACAAATCATTCAACTAAAGATGTAAGCAAGAGAGCAATCTGTTTCACAGAAACCAGAGGAAGCAGTCGTGAAGCAGAGCTAAACGCCCACTTTGAGATAACCTGCTCCTTAAAACCAAAATCTTGTAGTTTGCAGAATTTCAAAAGGTATTTTCCTTATTAATACATCCTTATTTTAATGCCTTTGGAACACAAACACATTTATAAAAATGTTATTTTTCAGTAATAAAATTTAAATACAAGTATGTATAAAATAGTAAAACTACACCTGCATATTGCTCCTAGCATTAAAAAAAACAGTAGGAGCTACTGATAAAACATCTGGAGCATGAGCTCCTTAAATGGGAGCAACTTTTGTTTCTGTGAAGTATATTTAGTTTAACCACTTAAAACCTTGTATGAATTCTCATTATTCATAGGTTGAGAGATACTAATGTACTTGAGTTCCATTTTTTAATTCCTTGTACAAAAATGACAAGGAAAATTATGTTATTGTTGAATTACAGCAAATCTAGTTTGCTTTTATGCATCACAGGGTTGGTTGGTTTTTTTAGCGTTTTTTTTTCCTCTTTTGGTTATTAGGGGTTGGGGAATAGAATATATATTGCATTAGGTAAAAGTGGTGTAAGCAATATGCTTTTACTTCACTCCTAAGAGTCCTGTCTTTAAATCTTGGCAATGGGCAAAAAGTCCCTAACCAAGTACCCAGGTGTAGAAAGTGTGATTAACATCTAACTTGTTGCTTAGGAGGACATAACACACCATGTAACACAACTGAAAAGATCACTCCAATAAAAACAAAACAAAACAAACCGGTAGTTGCAAATTTACATTCACTTTCTGACTGCACACTAGTTTTGAACTGAAAATAGGTACACACTTTCTGGCTGGACTTGATCCACCCTTTGGCGGTGGCAGCGGGGAGAAGACTGATGCCTACAAACGTGAACACACTACTGGAAGGTTCCTATGCAGTACTCTCTCTATGCTACTAAAGAGACAAAAACAGCAAGTTAAGAATTCAAACAAAAACTGCGACAAAATATTCTGCATTACTACGTAACAACACTTTTATATTTCAAGATCAGCCATTAATTTTGCCTGTTTCCCTATACCAGAGTCACGAAAGCACAACAACAGTTTCAAATTCAACTTGAAACATCTGTCATTTAGGCAAGCAGAGATTCTCTGTTGAAATTCTGTTCAGCCCTAATTTTAGAGAATTACACTAATTTTTTTTTTCTTCTGTTATCCATAACAGGCCACCAAAATTTAAGCCAGAAAATGGCAAAATTCTTAACAACTTTTATAATGACTTCAATACAAGTCAAATTGCTATATATATGTACATGTGTATATATGGACTTCTATATATACACACACAAGTTTTCAGAAAAATCTGAATTCTATATTAATTTTAAAAATTTAGATTTGTCATTATAGAACAGGTCAGGTGTGTCACCATTTGGGAAGAGGATTTGTTTGGAAACAGAATGCAGATTTATTTTCCCAAATCTCAGGAATCCTTGTGATACATATTTTAAATGGATTATTTGCAAATAGTAGAATATATTAAAAGGTAAAAGTGGCAGTTCTACCACTGACATTAATAAAACAGACTAGCTGCTATGGTTGAAAAAGTTTTAAAAACGGGATGAGTGTTGTGAGTTTGCTTGGGACGACTTTCTACTGAACATTTTAAATGTGTAAATTGGCAGTGAAAATGAAAACAATACAATGAGACTGTTTAAAAAAAAAAACAACAAACCAAAGTAAACACAGCTGAAAATAAACACTTTCAAAACATTTTAAAAAAGTTAATTTAAATTTCTTACTGGCTTCATGAGATTGGTACTGTACAAAAGCAGAGAATTCATAATGTCTTATAGTAGGCACTAAGTTAAAAATGGTCACCTAAGGCATTTCTACAAATAGACAGTTAACAAGCCAGCTTTGTACATCCTATTGGAAAGCTTGATGAAATCGTGGTAGGGTGGTGGTTGTGCTTAGACTGCTTGTGAAAGCTGCTGACAATGAGTGCAGAGACCCAAGACCTATACTATTGCTAGGATCTTGTGGATCCTGGGTTTGTGGCGGGAGTTGAGTCATAGAAGAATGTGCCTCCTCTTGCGTATAACTCATCCCGAGGTTTCCCACTGAAACAGAAGGATTATAGGGAGGGCCATTTACAGGTATGAAGTTGAACAGCTGAGAAAAGTCCAATGATGGGGCATTTAGAGGTTCACTAATAGGAACGGAGCCCTTGGAAAGGGAAACTTCCCCAGACCCATCATCTAGTGGCCCTACTTGTGGATCCAGCCCTAGTTTTGATGAAGATGCTTGAGAATCCTGGGATGAAGAAGGCATACCACTTTGCAACTCCATTAGGTAACTTTCAATTTCCCCTTTCAATGGCTGTTCTTTTTCAGGCATAGAAATTGAGTATGAGGTAGTACCGAGTGGGTATTTCAACGACAGCTGGTGAGAAGGGTGGACAGACTCCATATCTATTGGACAAGGCATTCCCAATGGTAACGATGTGGCAACCATTTGGTGTGCAGATGCAGAACTCTGCATGGACTGAATCTGAGTGTTGTAGAGATTTAATTGCAAAGTGTTTGTAAATGGCTTTGATGTCAGTTCACTGGAAGGTAAAGACATCACTGGAAGCAGCTCATCCTTAATAGGCACAGAAACATTGCAGGTAAAGGGATCTAGAAGGTCCATTGGCTCTGTTTTGACCTTCAGAAGTTCCTGGTTGTGACTTTTCTTCATGTGGCGCGTGAGGTGATCCTTGCGCCCGAATCTCTGTGCACAGTACTGACAGAGGAAGTCCTTTCTTCCAGTGTGCACTACCATGTGTCTGCGGACATCCTTTCGGGTGTAGAACCGACGGTCACAGTGTTCACACTGGTGCTTTTTCTCCTTCACTCCACCCGATGACTTGCCTGCATGAGTTTTTAGGTGCTCCAGCAGCACTCCTGTGCTTTCAAAAGTCTGCAAACATACCTTACAGGTGAGGTCACCACTTGTTGCAGCATGCAAAGCCAGGTGACGTTTGAACCCAAGCTTGGTATTGTAGTTCTTTCCACATTCTTCACACTTAAAGGCCTCTTTGTTGGGATTGTGTGTATGTAGGTGATTCTTTAGGTGATCTTTTCGGTGAAACATTTTCTCACAATAATTACACTTGTGGGTTTTCTCAGGAGAATGAGTAGCCATATGCCTTTAAACACAGATATATTCTGTAAGTAATTATTTTGATCAAAAAACACATGAGCTCATTTTTTAATGGCAGCTATATACTATGCTAAGGGCTGCTTTGCAACAGAACCTTTTAACTGAAAGCATGACACTACAAAGACAGTTTGACAAATTTAAATATAGCAAACCGCGAGCCATTTCTCTTAAATTGACACTTTAGTTTTGGTGGGTCTTAGCTACGGTAACAGGGGTATATGGGCAAGTATGAAAGTACTCGTGTAAAAGTCCATAGCCAAAGAACTTTCAGTCCATACTCTTTTTCTTGTGACAATTCCTTATACAAATGAAAATTCTACGCTCATTAAAAACAAAACAAAACAAAACAAAAACAAACAAACGGAAAACAAAAGCAGAAAACAAACTAAGAAACAAAATCAAAGACATTAGCTTGCAAACTTAGGTAATTTAGAATTCTAGAAACAATCCAATAGCTACTTTAATTAACACATCCTCTCTGCAATCAGCTGAAGGCGTACAGAAATATATACTTTTACACGGCTTAACACGGCCAACATAAAATAGATAATATAATCTGAAAGATAAATAGAGTTTAATACCTTAGTAATTTGTACTTAGAAACAAAGGCCTTGGTGCAGTCTTGTTGTGTGCACTTGTAGGGCCTCTCTCCTGTGTGAGAGTATGAGTGAACCTTTAATTTCTCAACACTGTTAAAGGCCTTGTCACACAGTTGGCAAGGAAAGTTTTTTCTTGGTTTGGTTTCACCACGCTTACGTTTCCCTGAAGGGACTTTCTGGGTATCTCTTACTTCTGACAAATCACCAGGAATGACAGTGGCCATCGCAGCCTAAACCAGGCCTTCTTGTTGGACACTTGGGAATTGCCCAACTCCACTAAATGATTTAGCTTTAGATGGCTTCTCAAGTTTCATGTGGTCGTAAAAGAAAGCAAAAGGGGACTGGAAAAAAAAAATAAGAAACAACTAGTTTGTAACTAAACTTAGATTTTGAAGTTTACTTGCTATGTGATGCTTCTGAATAAAACTTAAAAATAAAGTTAGGTTCAGCTGGTCTAACGTAATACCTACAGGTTTCTTTATACTGTTTGCTGCAACTCTTAAAATGCATTGCTCAGGATGAACAGATCCACATATGCCCTGAAATCACACCTCACAACCTTCCCCTCAAGCACTGATGGAGAAGAGCAGAGTTTCTGTCAGATCAAGAGAGGCATCAGGCAAAGGCCTACCTACCCAGGCACCTTTTGGCAGCTTCCGATTTCAAAGGATTTACAGCCTCTGGTGTTTGCACAGACATCCCCCCCTCCCCCCACACACACAACTATCAAAGCCTGTAAGCCTCAAAATGTTTGAAAACCTGCACAAAACACAGCAGTACCCATGCAAACACTATGGAGGGCAAAGCTCATGTTCCCGATTGGATATACCTCCCTCCCTGTGATTACTGCACATCTACACATCTACACTGGGAAAATGCATGCACTGCCAATAATGCCTAACACCAGGTGAAATTCTCCTGTAAACTCACTCACCCTCTACTAACAGAGACTTGATCTATGAATGACAGAAGTCCCATGGATTAGGGTTAGATTAGACAGATCAGGGTTTTATCAGCCCAGCACTGGAGACCCCCCAGCCTTCTCATGCTACCCTGTGAGACACGAAGGCTTGTAAGCATTCAGACTCAGGCTAGCTCAGGATGGAGGTTCCAAGTCCTGCCCCTGTGGCATAGCAAAATGTCAGGAGGCTTTCACTGTCAGGAAATGCATGACGTGATCCTCGTGTCTGACTTGTGGGTGAGAAGTTTTAAATTTGTCGTCTGGTATCATATAGTGGCAACGGGGCACCTGGCACCACAGGGCACTCAACAGCCCTCCTTTGTCAGGGCTTGCTGACAGCTTCACTTCATCCTTGGAGCACAACTGCTACTATAGATACCAAAATCCTGTGCTACCCAGAGTGGGAAGGGTGGAGCGTGAGGTCTGCAGCAGCCAGGGACAAGGAGGACAGCAGGACAGCACTCAACGCAAGCATTTTTGAGGGCTGGAAAGCCCCAAAATTTAGCCTTTCTCCCTTGAAAGTGCCAGCACCCACCCCCAGCCCCGGTGTCATGGCTGGCAGCTGCTGTCCCCTCTGGTCCCTGGCGGGGCAGCTGTGCAGGAGGCAGCCAAGCTGGGCCGGGTCGGGCTGGGCCGGGCGGCACCAGGGCCGGGCAGCGCCTCAGCCCTGGCAGCAGGGCCGGGGAGGCCGCAGCTGCTGGGACAGGTGGGGCTGGGCAGCTGGAGCCGGGCAGGCACCACCAGGCTGCAGCTGCTCCAGCCCAACGCCACCTCCCTGGAAAACAAACCGGGCTCTTCCCTGCTGGCAGTGAGGGAGCCCTGGCCCTAGCTGTCACCTCACCCCTGCTGGGGCTCAGCAGAGATGGAGGCAGCAATTGCTCCAGAGAGAAGTGGAGAGCAGCGCCCAGGTGTGCCAGGGGGGAAACTACACGGTCCTTGCAAGTGCCCCAGCATGGTCCTGGAAGAAAGCGAGAAGGAAGGAAAGCCTGTGTTTCCCTCAATGCATGGCAGGACAGGAGAAGCAGGGAGAGGAAGGGGAAGGGCCTCTTTAATGTCTGCATTATAAGAAATCCTGAGACTTGAGACCTCCATTTGAAATGTGTATACAGAGTATGTCTTTGTCTAAGCCTTTTCCTCCTTTCTTCCCATTTTCCCTTGTCTTTAGAGGAGGAGAGAAGTACTGGTACACCAAGATGGAAATCTGCTTCCTTTCAACCCTGAAGTCCTTTAATGACAGGTTAAACTATGCTACCTCCTTTAAACTAGCAGTTTTGCAAGACCACTTTATTCCCTTAAACTTCATAAGGAAACACTAACTTCTTTTAAAGATACCTCATGAGAGAAAAGGCATTTCTTTAAGGACTCTCTTGATTTCAGATTTGTCTCAAACTCATTCCCACTCGTGGGATGAAGCCTGGAGACATCAGTTCCATGAGTGGGAAAATGCACAGGTTTTCAAAGTATCAGCTTAATTTTATTTTCTGTCTCATAATCAACAATCTAGTTCACTAATTCTAGTTCAAAAGGAACAGTTGTTTGGAGATCTAAGAGCAATCATTTTCTTCGATAAAAGTAAATGAGGATCAGTTCCAAAGACTTCAATGAAGCCATCAATGTAATCAAAAGGAGAGTCTGATTCACATCAAAGTTGTGATATATCTGTGGATTGAAAGGTTTTTTTTAAATATAGGCTTTAATCAGAATATACATTAATAAAATTAATTTTGTTCTTCTGTTAATGAACACACTGGTCTTCAGTGCATATTGGCCTGAATGTAGAACAAAATTTTGTTTTAGTTTAATCTCTCTTGACAAATGAAGTTCAGGGGGGAGAAGAAAAATCCAACCCGACCTACACTTGTACAGGGTACTTTGCAAGTATACCACACAGGCACCTGCATGAGATGCACCACACAGAGCTGAGAGCACAGCAGTCACAGCCCTCACTGCATGGCCAGGGCACACCTCCAGCCCCAATGGGGTACAAGGGATCCAGCCCCTCTGGCCCCCCTGCCAAATCCATTCCTAGCCTGAGACAGGGAAGGCAGGATTAGCAGAAAAGGCAAAGAAACAGCCTCCACAGTCTGCTGCATAAGAGTGGCACTGCTTCAGCTCAGCAGCAAGCAGAGTCTGTGCCCAGACAGTGACAAGAGAAGCAGGGACAGCAGGGAAGATACAGGGAAGGAGGATGAGCCACCTCAGGGAGGGAGAGTGCACAGAACCAGGATGGGGGTGTGGGGCTAGGGAGGCTCAGGGAGTGCTGCATAGGCATGGGGAATATCTAAGGACATGAGGATAGGGGTGAGCTGGTAACACTGGGGTGGGTGGGAAGGAACTGAAGGTGCAACAAGCTGGGGAGTTGCGAGATATGAGGCCATGCAGAAGGGTGAATCTGATGTGATGTCAATAGCAGCCTATGAAACAGCATATTAAGCTTAACAAATTAACATCTGACAATTTCTCACTCCTTTTCTCAATGCAAAGATCACATCTCAGGCTGGAGACCATCCTACATTCAGGCCAATAAAAGATCACTGTTGTTTTCTCCAAAATTTCAGGCAACCTAGCTGCTGTACCAGTCAGAACATTCACAGGGATGAATAATTTGGGTTTTGCTCCTCTACGATCAAAACTAATTAAGCTGACTTTGAACTGTGTTTAAGTGTCCTTAAAAATGCATCACTAGAACAAATATAGTGTGGATCCAATCTTTCATAATGACAGAGTTCTATCAAAGAACACGTATGCACTATTATCTCAGTATCACTTCTCAATAGGTGAGGCAATTAAGAATGTCAGTATTGATCTCTGAGTAGCAAATAACCACTTTTTTTCCTTTTTTTGGATGTGGATATATAGACTGAGCAATGGAGATAAAACTTTAAAAAAACACTGATCCTCAAATATTAAATTTTCCAAAGACCAGCTGAAAGAATTTTATGAGTAATACTGCCTGCTTGTGTCTCAACATATTATCATTTAAAATCCACATTCTTACTGGTGCTTTCACAACTGCAGGATGAATGATTATATGCAGTATCAAATATAACAAACACATTACACAAAAGCTTATATATAATACTATTTTTAAAGAAGCATATACTTAAAGAGGATTAAAGCAGCCTTTGCTCAATGCACACCTGATGTTTGCCCACTAAAGTCCTCAGATTTTGGTCTTAACCAGTTCCGCTGACTCTTCTTGGAGGAAACCAGAATCCAGTACTTCCCATTTTTACTGGTCTGAAAAACAAAAGGAACAATGGACTAGACTCCAGCGAAACCAGCGCATTCATAAAGGCTCTGATGCAGCAAGACCAGGGATTGGAAAGAATCAGAAAGGAAAAGTTAAAAGGGACAGATCCAACCCATGCACAGAACATTATATACTGTTAATTATAAACTGTAGGAATCATTCTTGCATTATCAGTAGCAATTATGCACTTCAATTTGCAGTATACTTACATAATTTCAACTAATGCTATGGTGGACAGTGACACATAAAGAGATAAAATTAGACAAAAGCAAAGGAGTTTTCATGTAGTTAAAAAAAAATAAAAATCCACAGACCACAAATAATTTAGATGTAACAGCAAAACATGTGAAATGCTGGGCCCAGACTTGAGTTTCTTACTCAGAAAGGACTGAATAAGAGAAGATTCTGGATTAGGCCCAAATTTACTAGAACCTAATGCCTTCATTCTGCTTAATTATACAGGAAATAGCAGCTTAAAAGGTGACCTGCAAAGGAAAATAAAATTAATTTTAAAAAAATAATAAAACCTCTTAATGATGAACATGCTACAGGTAAATCTCAAAGGAGGACAAGTCTAGGTACGCCTGAGCAAACCGAGAGGGCCTTTTTGGAATTTCCCTTGTATCTCCCTTTCCCCTGCCATCATCCTTTTGTAAATTTGCAGCAGGTCTTCCTTGTCTTGCTAGAAGGCCTCCTGGATGACACAGCTATACACAGAAAACATGTTCAGTGCCTCATTGTAATGGGGAGGTTTATCCTGTCCAATTCTTCCAGATGTGTAAGGGCAAAGCCCTATACATACCCCACAGCAGGCTGAAGCTGTTTGGCAGAAGCCCTGTAGTAATGTAATGTTTCTTCCCCCCACACAAAACATTTTCCCTTCTGGCTTTCCATTCATTCCAGAAATCATTCTTCCTTTTGATACCAAGTTCAGCTCTACACAGCCCCAGCATCCTGTGTTGGTGGGTGTGAATGCGAGCAAACAGGTGTCCCTAAACACCTATTGATGTCAGAAGTGCTTCAGAACAACCAACTGAAGCTCTCTGATGGCTGAGGAACATTTATGTGGGGCTTTGTACATACAGGCAGGAGACAGAAACAGCTCCAGTACTCAAACACAAAGCTCTGTTTTCAACTAATGAGCACAACTCTCACCTCCACTTTTTGGGGTTCCCAAATCATCTTGTTTAAGGGAGAAAATGATGATGACTCCTTACCTCCTCTCCCAGCAAGACCCTTATAAATCCATTCCCCTGCAATGCCCATATCAACATCTTCCACCATCACAAAGGAAAAGTTTCATTCCCCAGATATTTCTACTGAGGTACTACTATTGTTAAGTGTTTCTACTAATGCACTACTATTGTTAGGTAGACAATATTAAAGACAGACACATGGATATAACGGACTAAGTCCTCATGGACTTAGCTCCTTCACTATTCACATTTACAGACTATTTCCTGTTTGGAAAAAAGACTCCAACAAATCCTGTTAAAATATTATCAAGTCCTCTCAGCGGCATTTAACATTTTCTCTTAAATGTTTATAGTCCTCAATGCTCACCACACATCTAAAGTCACTCTAGCAAAAAGCAGATGACCTCAGGGACAGGCCACTAGAGACATGGAAGAACTATGGAATCAGGGGAAAATGAAGCAGCTGGAACAAGTAAATAAACAAGATAGACACATGATGTAGCTAAAATGCTGAGGGGAATGAAGGAGAACAGTGAGGTACTCTCATTCATTCATTCATTACCTTACAAATTCAGCAAAATCACAATGCAGTGGATCCAGGTGAGGGCAATGCTACACCTACAATTAGTGGGATCTCAATTTCTACAGGGCCTTTATTATATAAAGAGCTCAACAATGTACACACAAAAGGGGCTACGTTTGCATGAATAATGAAAACATTTACTCCATTTGACAGGATTAAGTGAAAAGATAAAATAATTCCTATTTTACAACAATAAGCATGCTATTGGATAAAAGACTTTTCCTTATGCACAGAAGACAATAGTTGTCCATGACAATGCTGATTTCTAGACCACCTTTCTCAGAAGCTTTTGGTGTTAAAAAATGTCTGAGGCATAATACTGGACAAAGATGTACTACTCTCCTTGTAACTGCTTATAGTCATGGTGTTACTAAGCTTTTCACCCAGATGAGGTAGGAAGAATTTTTAATGAATAACAAAGTTCAAAGTATTCTCCACATGAAGCAGAGACGCATCACACTACAAAATGCATTGTCACATGCATGTGCCCAAAGCACATGGGTATAACGCTTGGGTATAACAAAACACAACTTCTCTAATTTGTCAGAATTCTTAGAATTCTTACAATTTACAGATCTTCCATAATTTGTGAAGCACTAATTTTGCTAAGTCTCCAAACATCCTGATAATTGAGGTTAGATAATATTTCAATTTCAACTAAAAAAAAAAAGTGCCCCAAAACCCTTAGGTGGAAGATAAATAATATAAAATATAAAATAATATATTCCTTTTTATTATTAAAAAGAGTAGCACTTTTTCCCCCAAATTCACAGTTCCTATTCAAAAATCTGATAGTTACACTTGAAAATATTTTACAACATTTGGAATCTCAACTGAAAGGATAATGAAGACAATACAGAAATATAACCAATAATCCTGCTCCTAACTTGTGTTTCATACTTGAGAGGGTTCAAGCACAGTAAAGGAAAACAGCAGTTTCATGGTTATTTTCTTTCAAAATAAAAGAGCAATAATGAGAACACAGTACTGAGAACACAGTATTTGTCATTTCGCCTTTTATACAAAACAGCAAATCTAGCTTCAATTCCTGAAATCAATCAGTTTTAAACCAAAGGAAGGGTCCTAGAAATATTGGAATCATATTAATGGTAGAACTCAGTAAGGAGTTAACAGCATTAGAGTCATCGTGGGTTTCAAATATTTCTTTAAGGAAACAAAATGGAAAGCGGTTACTTACCCTACGGAACTGTGATTCTTTAAGCAGTGCTGTCCGCACAGATCCCAGGTGAGCACGTACTCACACGGACAGGACCAAGTCCTCTGAAGTCAGTAATGTCCATCCAGGCTGTGCCTGTGAACCACCTGAGCTCTGCACAAGGCCAAGGAGTCCCCAGCAGTGCCACCACTGCCCCACCTAGCACAGCCAGCAGCAGTGGCAGCTCCCAGCTCTGCCCTTGGCTCACACCGTGGCACAAACCCAATGGCCCGCACCACTGCTGCCAACGCGCTGCTCTGGCAACCTCCCTCTGCCCTGCTGCTCCCGAACCACTGCTCCCACCTCAGGGGTTTGGGTGCTGATGTGACTTGAGCTGGCAAGGTTTGCTGTGGTTGATGAAGGGGAGCAGGGGCATGGGAGAGCAATACATGGGCAAGAGTTGATGTCCTAGCTGCAATTGTGGTGTGAGGTTTGGAAAGCTGAAACACTGACCGGCATCCTAGTTGAGGAAGAAAAGAGGATGAACAAATGCAACCCAAGGAAGCAAGGAGTTGCTGCTGCTCAGGGTGGTAATGGAGCAAACTAATCTCAGGATGCCCCAGTCCAACCTCTCTCAGGTTTGCCAACAGTAAAGACCCACTCAGAGTAAAGGACAATAGATGACTTCTGGTGCCTCTATTGCCCATGTACCAGAAGAGCCACCATTATTGTAGCATAAGTAATGATTTTTCTTCTTTTCTGTACCAGGTGACTAATAGTCTTAAAAGCACTGACAGGCAGTCACCTGACAAAAAAGTACTGACAAATGAAATCTGCTCTGTTGGAGCAATCAGGGACAGCTGGGGGAGCTGAGTTGGTGAAATCATCAGCAAGAGACAGCTGATCTCATCATTGTGGCTCAGAAGAGCCAAAATGACTATGAGACAGCACCTCCATTTGTAGAGAGGCAGTCACTGGAACAGGTTTCCCAGAGAAGCTGTGGAGGCCCCATCCTTGGAAGTGTTCAAGGGGACAGGTTAAATGGAGCTTTGAGCAGCTTGGTCTAATGGAAGATGTCCCTGCCCATGGCATGAAGGCTGGTACTAGATGATCTTTAAAGTCCCTTCCAACCCAAACTGTTCTATGACTCCAACTACAAACCCCATCCCCGTTCAGCTGGAGCTCTTAAAATGGCACAAATGTTGCCAGAGCTCCTGAAGATGAAAGAATGTAGCCCTACATTAAGGTGACAAAAAGAAGGAGCACCATGTAGGCATCTCTGGCTTTCCCGGTGCTGTGAGCTTACACACAAGCCTCTCACCAGGCAGTTCCATTTTGTGGGGAAGCAGATTCAATCCTCCTCCTGCTGATTTAGCTGCTGGAAGGGGCCGAGGGTAGAAGTGGCAGAGTGCCTGCACTGCTCCAGGACAGCATGCTGGGACCTGCTGCCCTGCAGGCTCAGACACCCTTCCTGGATCAACAAGGACCAACGTGCCTACTGCACACTTGAACAGGCCTCAGAGAGAGCAGGAGGTCTGACTGGCTCCATAGAAAAACACTTGATTTTTTGCAGCAGACACTTCAACTCAGAGTAGCTGCAGGCAGCAGAAGATCCAACTTCCCACCTACGACTTTCAGAGAGAAATTAGAGAGAATTCTCCCTCTTAGAATTAACTTTCCGCAAGGGAGAATCTCAGATGGAGAAGCTGATCCCACCAATGGAAACAGTCAAGCAGGTAAGAAAAATCCATACAAAGATGTTGAAGTATTGATGCTTCAATCTTTTTAGGGTGTCTTTCTCCAGCTGAATTAAAATCAAGTCTTCTGACTAATTCAGGGGTCTACCTCCCTGCTTGTGCTTGGCAGGCCATTTGATCTGCATTTGTTTGAACAGCATGTCACTTTTTAAAAGAGACAGCTGAGGGAGCCTTCTACCTTTGCTCATACTTAGAAAGAGAATCCTGGCTTTGGTAGGAAGATGCTGATCCTCTCCCATCTGGTCTTGGCTGAATAGGGGTGGAGAGGGAAAGGGGCAATGAAGGTCTCTCTGTG